GGCCCTCAAGCCCCGGGAACCTGCTTTGTAGGGAAATGCCTTCTTTTCTCCCAGGGATGTCTTAGAGATTGGGCCATGCAGCTCCTCCTGCTGGCTGCAAATGTGCACCTTCCGCCTGCTCCCCCATCCCCCTGCATGGGCTGCATTCCTGGTCCCCCACCTGTGTCCTGAGGGGCCTGGCCGTGGCCTGTTCATTCCCCTTCGACCCCACAAAGCCTCGCTGCCAGTCCTGGGGAGGGGAAGCCCCTGCTGGGGGCTTGTGGAGTTGGATCGTGTGCCTGTGCAGAAATGGTCTCTGTGTCTGCATTTGAAATAAAACCCAACCCACCAGGGGCCGTAGCTCCTGCTTTGTGCGGCGCATCCCCTGCCTATGGACTATGGAATTCGTGTCCCCCACACCAGGATGGCATTCGGGGCACTCAGTGTGTGGTGTTCCTGGCAGTGGGTGCTAGTTGACTACTTATGTCAGGCTGGCCTTTTCCTAGCACTAGCAGTGACTGACCCTGCCAGGAAACTCACTTAGGCTGCGTAGAATTGGGAGACACACTTCCCATTCCCAGCAGCATGTGGTTCCCACCCCCAGGTGATGTGAGGTGCAGCAGAGCATCCAGAGGGCTGTGGTGACCACAGAGCACTGGGCAGCTGCTGGGGAGGGCCAGGTGGCCATGGCGAGGAGGTCCGTGTCCAACCGGGAGGCTGAATCTTATGTTCCAGAATGGGCCTCAGGGAGGTCTGAGGCCAGTGGCTCCAGCCTGGGCCTCCACAGAGCAGACACCCAGGTGCTGCTGCCGCAGGGCGCCTCCTGCCTGATGGTGGAGCAGAAAAGCAGCCTTGGGATACTGGCCCAGGCTCTGGGTGCCCCGACCCCTGACAGAGCTGCTGAGACTGAGGCCACCTGCCTTGGCTCCCACCGACCCACAGAGCTGCATGCAGGCCAAGAGGTGGGAGCTTGGCCTCAGCCCCCCAAGAGCAGGGAGGCACAGGCTCCAGGCCGTCATCCTGGGGAGGGCCTGGGGCTTCCTGAGGCCCTTGCTGGCCTGGCTGGGACTCAGCTGTGATCCTCAGGGCCTGCACCTCAGAGTGGTGACTTTGGCCTCACAGTGACCCTTAGACATCTACTGTGACTTCCGCCTTGGCTCCCTTAAGATGCCCAGGGCCAAGCTAAGATGTGGCCCAAGCCCAGGAGCTGGGTCCACATATCCGGGGGGCCCTGGGAGGGTCGGGCTGACCACTCAGGCTGTCTCCGTGTGGATATCCAGGCTGGAGGAGAACCTAAGGACCGTGTCCCCCAGGTCTCATCTGCAACCACCAAGCTGTGGGAAGGCAGTGAGGCTGTCTGCCCTTCCTTGGCTAGCATCCTGCCCATCCCACCTACTGCTGTGGCCAAGATTCTGACCTCTCACGGCACAGGCCCTGCTGTGTGCGCTGGCCGCAGATGAGGAGCCCAGGCGTCCTGGTGCCGGTCAGGTGAGCTCACAAACAGGAAGGCACGCTGCACAGCCCGAACCTTCAGATCTGTGAGGCAGCACTTGCGGTCGGGTCCTGGCAGCACAGCCTTACAGAGAACCCCTCAGAAGGTTCCATGGTCACCCCTGCAGTCAGCATGCCCATTGACCCCAACCCTGGGAGGCATCTTAAACAAACACCAACACACAGCAGAGGGAGACCCACAAAGTGCAGAGAAGGAGCAGCAGCCTCCAAAAGGCAGGGTCAATGGATCCTGAACCATGGCTCTGAGCTTCCCAGCAGCCAAGTCAAAAAGGGAAATATGGGTACTGCTGAGTCCTCACCAAAAGTTAATGGGAAAAGGTCTTGAAGACCTGGGCCTCCCTTTCGTCAACACACATGCTCCCTTGACACCGGCTGGGGAGTGCTCTCCTATCAAGGGTTCCCCTCTCTGTGGATTGCTAAGTACCAAGCTCCTCAGGGCTCCCTGGAGAAAGGTGCTAAAGGGTGGCGCAGAGATGTCACCTGGGATGCAGCTTAGAGAACCACACAGGGCCTTGAGGTCCCCCTACCCCGTGCAGGTCAGCAAGGGCACCCACCCATGCAACCCTGGGGCCCAACCACGTGGGGCCACCTGTGCTGGGGCTACGAGTCCCTGTCTTGGCTGACACTTCTGCGGGACTCCCAAGTCAGGAAGCCTCCAGCTAAGGAAGCCCCGCCACCACCTTGAGACGACACTCAAGTCTGTCCCTGGGCAAGCACTCCTCACGGTGGAGAGGATAGCTGCTGACCCACAGCAAGCTGGGTGGATCGGGACTCATGCCAAGTAAGGGGCCAGACTCCAGTGCAGGCATGCGTGCTGTTCCCTTCACACGCATCCAAGGCCATAAGCAATTAGCTGCGACAGAAAGCGTGTCCGGGCTGAGCTCAGGGAGGAATGTCCCCTGCAGTAGGTACACAGGTGTGTGCAGGTGTCAGAACCACCAAACTACACACAGATACCTCCTGCCAGGTGCTGTGGCTCACATCTGTAATCCCAGCACGTTGGGAGGCAGAGGCAGGAGGATCGCTTGAGCTCAGGAGTTCGAGACCAGCCTGGGCAACATGGTGAAACCACCACCCCCCTACAAAAAAAAAAAAATTATCCGGGCATTGTGACATGTGCCTATAGTCATAGCTACTCAAGAGGCCAAGGTGGGAGGATGGCTTGAGACTGGGAGGTTGAGGCTGCAGTGAGTGAACAGTGGTTAAAAAAAAAATTTTTTTTTAATCAAAAAGAGCACCGTTTGGAAGTCAGAATCACATTGCCTGTGGGGGTGAGCAGAGATCTATGGAGACGGGGGCTTTCCTGGGCAAAGGGGCCTCCCTGACATTGGGGGTGTGGATGACACTCGTCAGAGCAGGTTGGAGACCCCTCACAGTACCATGAGACTTCCGAAACCGGGCCCTGGTGCAGCCTGCCCTGCCCTTGGAGGAAGCCTCTGGGCAGTTTCTTGCAGGATTGATGTCTGAGAAATAGCTCACACTGGGTGCTGCCTGCTGACCTCCACCAAGAAAGACAGGTTTAGGTGCTGAACCACCCCTCAGCACTTTCCGCCCTCCAGGCCCCCAGGACAGTGGCATCTTTTCAAAGACAGGTCCTGCTTCTTCACACAGGCTGGAATGCAGTGGCATGAGCTCAGCTTGTGCAACCTCCATCTCCCAGGCTGAAGTGATTCCCCTGCCTCAGCCTCCTGAGGAGCTGGGACCACAGTTGCTGCCACTCCACCTGGCTAATTTTTGTATTTTTTGTAGAAATGGCCTTGCTGTGTTGCCCAGGCAGGTCTCAAACTCCTGGGCTGAAGCAATCCTCCCACCTTGACCTCCCATGGTGCTGGGATTCCACCGTGAGCCACTGGGCCTGGCAGCATCTGTTTCTGGATGACTAGTACCCAGCATTCACATCCCAGAGCCTCAAGCCGACCTTCCAGAGGGGTTCAGCGCTGTCCGCTGCCCTCTCCCCCTCCCTGGAGCACTGGCCGCCTCCGCTGGGCTTTCTCTCCCTGCCCATCCCTGCCTGTCCCTTCACAGACCAAGTGGCGCCAGCTGCCATCCGTCCTCCTGCTCCGGTCACAGTCATGCCCTGGCCAGGTGGGTACGCCAAGCGCCCTCCACTAGCGCCCAGGGAACAGGAGCTCTCTCCACTACTACACCCTCCAGCAGCCGCTCCCCCTGCCTGGGTCAGGCCATCCCCACCCACTGGGACCTTGGAACTGCTCGAACCACTGCTGGCTGCATGGGTTTCACAGGTGAGAAAGTCCAGCGCAGCCTCAAACCTGGAAGAGTCATCAAAGTTAGCACCCTTCAGATTCTTCCAGGCCTCACCTCGTCACCCCCATGGCCCAGCAATCGAGCCACAGGCCACCCATTCGCTTGTTACACAGCAGAAACTACCAATACACTCTGATTTCAGACACCCTAGGACTTTGCTTAGATTTCACAAGGGGCTGGGTCCAGTCAGGAGGGGTGGGAATTTGGCCAGTGATGGGCCTGCCTCGGGGGCATTCATGAAAGTCACCCAGAGAGTGCTGGGCACAGGGCCGAGCTGTCCAAGCCCCGCTGACCTCCGAAGCCCGGCGAGCCCACCCAGCCCTCCCACCATCCAAGATGGGAAGAAGACCCCTGCTCCGAGGGAGCCCGGGCAATCACTGGGAGGGCCCAGGTCCCAGAGTGAGGCGGACTTCCAGCCTTTGGGTTCCTGGGCAGAAGTTTCCTGATAGGGACTGCCCACTCCATGGGAGAAGCTTCAGGACATCTGGCCACGGCTGAACCAAGACCCTGCCACACTGGACGCCGTCCCAGCCCCTGCATATGTGTGCCCTGCGGGTGTGGGCGGGTGGTGGTGTGGCAGCTCCCTTGAGTTGTATTTAATGATATCTCCATGGGTAGAGCTTGGTCTCCTCCCACGCTCAGCCCTCCTGGCACCCTGCGGAGGCCTCACCCTCCTAGCTGGCTGTGGGAGGTTTGCAGGTGGCTCAGGGACTGTATGGTTTTGTTTTGCCTTGACTTAGGGTAATTGGACGCACATGCCACATGGCTGAGGGCCAGCCTCGGACCCAGAAGCAGATGTGGGGCTGAGAGCAGCCCGCCCACCCCAGGAGAGTCTTTCCCTGGAGACCCAGAGGCAGGGGTTGCAGAGGCTGGGGTCAGCATTTCCCCTGCTGCTGAGGACAGGCATCAAGGGAGCGGGTCAGCCATGTCGTGAGTAGTGGGGTCCATGCTGTCCGCCCCTCCCATGATATGTGGGCACCGTCGGGTGGATGTCCACAGAGGCGTCTCCCAAAATCCACACAGGAGGAAGCTGGGCTCTCTGGCTGCCCACCACCTGAGTTCTCTGGGACCCTTGAAAAGGACCTCCAGGGCAGGTCGGTGGATAAAGGAGGACAAACTCACCACTCCCAGAGCCCTCACATCCACAGACCCAGCAGGAAGGAGGCTCTGGAGGTGACCTGGTGACAGCACAGTGCGGAGAATGTCCCTGTGCCCCGAACTATGCACTTAAACATGGCTGATGGTGAATTTTCTCTACGTGTATTTTATGACAGTTTTTAAAAATACCAACCAAAAAGAACCACTTGCAAATGAGGCATAGAGAGTGTCCTGCCCCAGTGTTCTCCGGCAAGCCCCCAGGATGTGCCTGTGCCCCCAGCTGGCAACCTGTGTGCAGCTGCAAAAAACGGGAGTACCCAGGTCTGGCTGGTCGAGAAGGTGGTACCTCTGGGGTTTGGGTCTCACTTGGCCTCCCCTTCCCTCCCACCCACCCCATACCCCTGCCCATGCCCATGGGCAGGAGTTGAATGAGATCTGACACCTGCTCACTCTGTTTTCACGAAGTTAAGCCTTTTTACCCTTGAGGATGAGGCATTTGGACTTGGGGGTCCTGGCTGTACCCCATGGAAGGAGCCCTGTGATCCCACTGGCTTGTTTCTACCTGGGTGAGATGGGGTAAGAGGTCGTGTGAGTCAGGCTCAGCATGAAGCTCAGCTGTCACTCTTCACCCTGCACTGCTGTCCCTCACGTCAGCTGGGCCTCCATGAAGTGGGGCGGGAAGGAGTCAGTGTTTCCTCCCCATGTGGGCCTTGGGCTCCCCTGGGCCCCCACCCTCAGGGATGAATACCCCAGGCCACTGCAAGGCGGGGGCATGAGCATCTCCTGCGGAGGTTGGGGGAGGGCTGAGCCTGACTCCTCCACCTGGCAACAGCTGGGTCTGACTTTCCACAGCCCCGCCCTGGAATGGTTCTGCAACCTGAGGCTCCGGAGGGGCTCATCAGGATGGAGTCACGCTGAACAGGGACCCACCTGGCACCGGGACCCTGTTTTCTCTGCCCTTCAAGTTTTTAGCATCGTATTTCAAATGTCTGAGAGGAGAAGAGCACGTGGTCCCTGCTCTTCCCCAGAAAAACGTGAGCAGACAGAAGCAGCTGAGCCCCCACTCCCTCTGTCCCCTTCTTGTATTCCTCCCATGACTTAGGGACCCTGTGGCCCCACCCAGGAGCATGAGACCTGCCTCCGTCTGTGTCCCAGCCACCGTGTCCTGGCCTCGGGGTGCCACTCCACATGGTGCAGGTGGGAACGTACTCAGCTCATCCTCTTTTCTCCTTGAGGGGCCACCTGCAGCTTTCGTGCATGCCCAGCACTGGGACCCAGGCCAGAGTCATCTCAGATGCCAGGCATCCCATCACACTGCTGGCCAGCGGTGTGACCACCAGCACACGTGACACTGTGCAGCTCAGCGTTCTCATTTGTGCCTCTCCAGTGCTGCTCGTCTTCATGGGGCTGAGGCGTCCCCTCCTTCAGGAAGCTCCACGCTCCCCCTGCCAGCCCCTCCATCCTGATGGCGAGCTTTGCAACAGGAACCTCTATGCCGACAGACTGGACATCCCGAGGCCGGCCCAGAACCGCCTGCCAGCCAGATGGTTGACCCCAGCCGGCTGGGCACAGCCTGCTGAGGCATCCCGGGGCCCACAGCCTGAACAGAGGCCCATTCACCGCGTTTCCAGACACAAGACAGGACCTCATTCAGTATGAATTTCGGATACACAAGAGCCCACAGAGGTTGGAGTTGGTGAAGCCCCCGAGCAGAGGTGGATCTTGCCTTTGGGTGGGGGCTGTCCCACAGCCAGCCTGGATGCCACTAAAGGGACTCCGTGGCTTCCCCGGGGCCAGGGTGTGGAGGGGCCAAGTGGGTCCCCTGAGCTCGGGTGCTGAAGGACCTGCCTGGGGCATCTCTGTCCACCACGTCCCTCCTGTGGCCCCTGCCTGGGAGCGCTTAGCACATAGTGACCCTCCTGGGGTCAGGGGCTGCCCCTGCGTCCTTCCCTCCACAGTGACCTCCATCCTTCCTGGGATGCTGCTGGTCCCAGCCAGACCCTTGATGGACAGCACTCAGTCTGCGATGCCTCAGCACCCTACACCTTCCTGGCAAAGTCTGCTGGTCCCAGGGTCACCATCACCCACTTCATGGAGGGGAAAACTGAGCCCAGGGTGGATAGGTCTGCTCAGGTCCCCAGGAAATGGGCTGACCCAGGAGCCTCCAGCTCCCAGTGCCTGTCTCTGAAGGAGAATATGGGCTTCACTTCCCTGCTCCCGTCAGGCTCCTGGAGGACCAAGGCAAGCCAACGGTGGCCCCAGTGGCTTGCCTCAGATCCCGGCACTGCAGGCCAACTCCCTCCAGGCACAGCCACCCAGGAGCAGGACCGGAGGGGGGTCTGCAGGAGCCCCAGGACCTGGCGGGTGCAGGGCTCACATGCTGAGGACACCCATCTGTGCCATTTCTGGCTGAATGAGGCCACCCGCTGTCTCCCTGCAGCCCCAGCTGCAGGTGCTGGGGAGGAGCTGAGGGGCCCTGGGGAGAGCTGGGTAGGTGAGGGCACAGCAGGCAAGGCCCGGAGTCGCTCCTGGGGGCTGGCAGGGACTGAGCCACAGCAGCACCAGAGGGATGGGGGTCCCACAGGGTCGGGCAGGGGGAGGCCTGGGTGTAGCTGGAGGCAGCTGCTGACCTTGTGGGGGTGGGAGTGGGAGTCCTCAGGGCAACCCCAGAGCAGTCTTAGCTGGGGGCTAAGAGGGGAGTGAGCAAGAGGACTCAGGGGCTGAGAGGGGAGTAATGGGAGGACTCAGGGGCTGGGAGGGGAGTGGTGGGAGGACTCAGGGGCTGGGAGGGGAGTGGTGGGAGGACTCAGGGGCTGGGAGGGGAGTGGTGGGAGGATTCAGGGGCAGGGAGGGGAGTGGGTGGGAGAACCTGGGGGCTGGGGGAACCCTTAGGGCCTGGACACCGCACACAGGGTCTGGGCCTGCGGCCGCATGGTAAAAGCCCGGGCAGGCGTGGTGTCCAGGGAAGCCGGACTGACTCCAGGCGGGGGCAGCAGGCGGTACCTCTGCAGGAGGCCAGCAAACAGCAGGAAGAGCTCGGTTCTGGCCAGGCGTTCCCCAACACAGACACGGCGGCCTGCAGAGGAAGTCAAGGCACAGAGTGGGCTAGCACCAGGCCTGCTCCTGGAGGGGAGGGGTGGGGACCTCCCCAGGGGAGCAGGAGGTGGGTGCCAGAGTCAGTGGGCGGAGCTGGGGACGCCCCACCCCTGGAGCCTGGAGGTCCCGCCCCACCCCAGGCCTTGAGGGCTGCAGACCTGCAGAGAACGGCAGGAAGGCCTCCCGCTTCACAAAGTGCCCGTCTGCATCCAGAAAATGGCCTGGGTTAAACTGGCCCGGGGTCTGCCACTGTGTCTCATCCAGGAGCACCGAGGTCAGCAGGGGAATCACGGGTGTGCCCTGCTGGGGCAGCCGCAAGAGGGAGAGAGGGGCCCCAGGGAAGATGGGATGGGACCCGGATTGGGAAGTTTCATTCCAGGCTGCCACACCCACCACACCTGGTGTTAGCCCACCTCGAAAGTGAGGGACCCGAACCCAGGAAGGCCAAGTGACCCCAGGGCACACAACCAGGGGCCCTGAGGATAGAGAGGACCCCCCCAGGACACAGAGAGGGGCCCCTCCAGGGTACACGGAGGGGACCCCGCCCCAGGACATGCAGGGAGGTGCCAAGCCTGCTAGTTAGAGCCCCAAATCCTGGGCTGTGGGATGAGGGTTGCCTCCCTCCTGCTCCTGGCTGGACACCCTTTCCTGCCTCCGGTCAGGGAGCTCTAGGCCATCAGGCATCCACTGGAGGCTCAGCCATCCCAGTGCCCCTGGACCCCTGCTGAGGCCTACCCCAAAGGAGGTGGAAAGGAGAGGGAGGCCTGGCCCCACCTTGGGGAGCAGGAAGCTGCCCAGCTTCGTGTCAACAGTGGTGCAGCGGGGCACATGCGGCAGGAGCGTGATGAAGCGCTGGACCTCGTGGAGCACGGCGCTGGTGTAGGGCAGCTCCTGCTGGTCCTCCAGCCGGGGAGGCCGCCCAGGGCCCAGCACACGGTCCAGCTCCTCCTGCACCCGGCCTGGGGCAAGGGGCGGGCTGGGTCAGTGGGAGCCATCCCTCAGCCCTGGGGGGTCCCCAGGGACAGAAGTAGCTGTCCTACCAGGCACCAGGGTCTCACCCTGCACATCCAGGTGCCGGCCCATCAGAAGTGCAGCCCACTGCAGTGTGGCCGAGGTCGTCTCCGTCCCGGCCATGACCATGTCCAGGATGCAGGCCACCGCGTTGGGCTCAGCAAACAGGCCCTTGGGGTCATCCCCCTGCAGAGGCGTGGGGCAGGACTCTGGGGGAGGATCTGTGGTCTGTCCCCCACCCCACAGACCCAGCCCAGCCCTGGACTCAAGAAAGGGGCAGAGGGTAGGCGTGGCCGGAAGTACCAGGAGCTCGTGCCTGCTATGATCTGGGCTCAACCTTCCCCAAGGCAGGCACCATGGATGTTTCACAGATGAGGAGACTGAGGCTCTGAGGGGTCCCCAACCATAGGTGGGGGAGCTTGGTGCAGGAGCAGGATGGACCCCTCCCCAGCCCTGCTCCCCTGGGTGGGCCCTCAGGACCCCCACAAGATTTTGGGGAGGAAATCAGCCCCTGGCGCACCTGTCCCTGCTGGATCAGGGCGTCCACATAGCTGCGAACAGGGTCCCCCCGGCGCATGTGGGGCCGCCGTGCCTCCAGGAGGGTCCTCAGAATGGCTTGGACCTCCTCTATCTTGCGTAGGACGGGCCGGTGCAGCTGGAGCAGGGCCCCAAGCCAGGGGTAGATGTTGAAGAGCTGGGCAGGAGGCAGGGGGAATGGAGATAAGGGTGCAACCCCAGGGCAGGGGGTAATAGTCCACAGCAGCTGTGTTCACACCCAGGGACTCTGGGCAGAGGTGCTGGAGGTGGAGACCCACAGAACAGGGACTCTTTGCTCTCAAGGGAAGACCAGGGACTCCTAGGAAATTCTCCATCTGTGCTCTGGAAGGGGACAGCCAGGTGGGTTTGCACAGCAGGGTCTCCTTCCATCCTGGAAAGGGAGGAGGGAGGCGGCTGCCGCTGTGGAAATAACCTTGAACCTCCTGTGAGTCATGGAGTAGGAGACAGTGCAGAGCTCAGCGCTTAGAGTCGGGGCTGCCTTGGAGTCGGCTGTGTCTGAGAGGTGAGCCTGGCACCAGCAAGTACTCTGTGACTGCCTGTGGCCGCCCCACGATGCCTCGTGCTGCTTGCCTTCCTGGGGCATCCATGATCACCAGTAGTGAGTTGCATGCGGCGCCTCTTGGGAAAGAGCTGACGCAGGCAGGGAAGGCCAGGGAACGCTCTGCTGCCAGGGCTGCCTCCCCAGACCGCACGGTGCTGCCTCCATCCTCCAGATGGGCTCTGGGCCCGCCTGGCTCCACCAGCAGGCACGGTGGTCTCACCCTGGCAAGGACGGGTAGAAGCTGCTCCCCGCTCTCTGCCTTGTGAACCCACCGCTGCCCTCACTCTGGGTCCAGCCTTGATATGCCTATAGCACCTGAGATGCAGGCTTCGGTAAATGCACATCAAGTATGGTGAGGACCAAAAAGAGGGAAACTGCATTTTGAAGAAAAGTGAGATACATGTGAGTTCTGAACATTGGAAGGACCAACTTTCGTGGTTCTGCCACACTGGAAAGGATGTCAGCTGGAAGGTGCCTGGACCGTCAGAGCCAGGGGGACATGGACTCCAGCAATCCTGGGTAAGCCATGCCTGCCTCCACCCCTACCCTTCAGCAGCTACATCCGTTACTGATGAGGGCATGTGGGGAGATCGGGATCCCCCATTTCCTGGAGAGCACAGAGGCTGATCTGAGGCCACACGACCGGCTAATGTCAGATGGGTCCTGATTCAGGCCCTTGAGTCTGAAATTCCTTGAGAGGGACAGTGTTGGGACCCCTGTCCTGCCCCTGCACTCCCAGCGCCCCAGGTTCCACCCCACCCTGAGAACAGGAGGCACCCCCTCACCTGCAGGCCGGGGGACCCCAAGAGGACCATGACCTCATCGATGAGACCCAGGAGGGACACGAACACGGGGTCCCGGTAGTCAAACCGGCGGCCAAAGAGGAGCATAAAGGTGATGTTGGAGGGAGCCCAGCCCAGCAGGGCCAGTGGGAAGGGCCGGCCTTCAAGAGGAGATAAGCCTCAGGTGCGTCGAGGCCCTGGGCAGGGGCGTCCCCGGCCCCCCCGCTCACCTTCGTAGCCATCCAGCTGCTCTGAGAGGCATTTCAGCTCCTGCAGAATCTTGTCAGCCATCAGCTCCCGGCCCATGCCCAGACTGTGCAGAGCACGCACGGTGAAGTGGCGAGCAGCCCTCCAGCGTGCCCCGGAAGAGAAGAAGATGCCTGTGGGCAGGCGCGGCGCCCATGTCTTCACCCCAGCCAGCCCCGCCATGTGACCGGGCAGGAAGTGAGCAGGCAGCGGGACTGGCTGGGGCCTCACCCCCATCCCCACTCCTGTCCCCCTGGGTTGGCCCCTGGCCCCTCCTGACTTGGGATGAAAAGATCCTCACTTGCTGGTCCTGAGCACCCGACCTGCCATGTGGACACCTGGCTCTACCCAGCACCAGCTCGGAGGCCTGGCTTCTGCCTGCTCTTCCCCAGCCCCACTGGGGACTCTCTCCCACTGTTGGAGCCCCCACCCCCCCGGGATCCAGTGCCCCCACACCCAGCAGGCCCCTGCAGTGCCAGTTGGCCGCACACCTACCTCCACCTCGCTGGATGAGCTGGAAGATGGCGATGGGAGGCCGGTCGGCCAGCTCCTGCCCAGGGCCTGCCAGCGCCTCCTTGACTGCCTCAAACCCCGTCAGTACCACAGTCTTCTGGCGCCCCAGGTGCACGGTGAACACCGGCCCATAGCGTTCTGAGAGCTGGCAGGGATGGCAGGGGTCACCCAGGCAGCCCTCACCCACAAGGCCCCCTTGGGGCCCCTTGGGCTGGGCCTGTACTGTACTGGGTAGGGGTGGGGACAGAGGGGGGAAATGGGGGCAGGTGGAGGGGCACTTAGATGCCATAAAGCGGGCTGTGCAGGGTGGAGGGCAGCATCCAGCCTGGAGCCCCCAGAGCCCTCTCGCCATCCAGTGCATGGCATGGCTGTTGTGGTCTTCTCTTTTTAGCCAAAATTCCTGGAGGGTTCCTTTGAGCCCCGAGTCCAGGCAGCAGGGTGGGGAGCTGTCTGCTGGGGTGGCATGTTCTGAAAGGCCAGAGTCTGCACAGAGTGAGGGCCTGACAACGTGGCCCCCAGCGACCCTGACCCTTCCTTGGCTGCAGCCCAGCCAGGAGCATCCAGCTTGCAGTCAGGGGCAGCCAGAGACAGGGCCTGGGCGTGACTATGAGTCCTGTCCCACTGACCCTGCCTGCCTGAGTAAGGACAGGATGACAGTGCCGGTCAGTGTGCCCCGTGCCAGGCCCAGAAGGGCATGCAGGAGGCCGGAGTGCCCACCCATGCCCTCTGTCCTAAGTATCCCTGCCCCAGGAGGCACCGACCGTCTTCTTCCCATTTCACACATGAGGAAATGGAGGCTGGGAAGTGGGAGGTGTTTGCTGTTGAACACCTGAGGGTAGAAGGGGCTCCACCCTGGGCCTGTGGCTGCCTGCTCAGCCCCCAGCACAGCCAGGTGGGTGGTGGCCTCTGGGGCCCCAGTACTGGGTGAGGCCCAGTCCACCTCTTGGATCATGGGCAGCTCCAGTGAGGGTCTGCCTCCACCCACCAGGTCCCCTGGGGCCCCTGAAGGCCCGGCCTGTGCTGGGCAGGTGTAGGTAAGGCAGGGAGGGTCTGGGAGAGGTCACCTGGCAGGAGCCCCTGGGGGGGCAGGGCTGGGGAGGGATGGCCTGTCCCTGTTGAGGGCCTCAGAGGCTGAGCACAGGGGACTGCTTTGAGGGGTGGTGGCAGGGCGCCTGTTGGTCAGGCAGCAGGGCTGGCCACCTCTATAGGGCAGGGCAGGGCAGAGGCAGCCAGCTCCTGGCTGTGGGGAAGGGCAGCCTACCCTCAACATGGGGGCCACCTCCAGCCCAGGAAGGAAGGGGCCACACTTGGGAGGCTCCCACCTGCCCGGGCCATCTCTATGTGCAGTCCAGGTCCTGTCTCAGACCATTTCCAGAGCCCCTGCCCTCCTGCCCTCTGCTGTCCCTCAGCTTGGCCTCCTGCAGGTTCTCAGCAGTCACCACCTCCTCCAGGGAGCCCTCCAGACTCCTGCTCCTGAGCCCAGACCCTGGGCAGCACCTCCAGGGCTGCTTCCTAGGGTGTCTGCTTCCCTGTGGGGTAGGGCTGCTTTCCCTTCCCAAAGGCAGGGTGGGCACTCAGGCCTCCTGCATCCCCCGCTGGGCCCAGCACCATGTGGGCATGGACAGTGGAAATGGGGCTTTGCTGTCCCAGAAGGGCAAGGACACAGGTCCGCCCAGGTGGTGAGAGCTGCCGGGTTCTCTGACCTACCTCCATCAGGGACCGGTCCTGTTGCGACAGACGCAGCAAGTGCAGGTTCCCGATGAGCGGCAGCGGACGAGGCCCCGGGGGCCACCGGGGGGCTGGGGAGGGGTCTCGGGCCCAGGCTTGGAGCAGTCCCCAGAGCCCCAGGAGGCCCAGGAGCAGCAGGATCAGTAGGGCCATGAGGACGTGGCTGGCGAGGCCCTGCTCCCCTCCAGGGCCTCGTCCCCCCTCCCCCCCAGCGGCCTTATAGGCCTCCCTGGGAGGGCGTGCCGCACCCCACCCTCCCCACCACCCCTCATAGGCCTCCCCTGGTGGGCGTGCCCGCACCTCACCTACCCTCCCTACTGCCTTGAGAATGTGGAGTGAGCAGTTTGCAGGGCAGCCCCCAGCGGGCTGCTTCAAGCTTCAGGCCTTCATGGAATGTGGGGCTGAGGCCCTGCTGGGGCCAGGAAGGGGAGTGCAGGACTGGGGGCCCTCTGGGGTCTGGCATCCATGTCATCTGTCCAGGGAGAAGGACAGAGCCTATTGACTGTTCTGTCCCTGGTTCTGGTGTACCCACCAGTCTGGGCCTCTCAGCCCTGGCCACCCCTCAGAACTTGGATTCACAGGGCGTTGGGGCCCAGGCCCCAACTTGGAGGGGAGCTCCCCTTTCTCAGGCTCTGAGCAGGGCCCCTGTGGAGCTCAGGGTGTACAGGCCTCTCCCAAACCCTATCCATGTGCACCCTGCTCCTCCCTGATCAGCTCCCCACGGGGCAAGGGACAGGAGTGAGACCTTGGGGCAGCCCATTCGGGGCCTCAAATCCCACAGCCCTCACAGGCTGTCAGCTGCATTCCCTGAGACTGCCCTCACCCCAGCAGCTGCCTGCTCCCGGTGGCTGTTTGAGGGCTGCTGCGGGGCAGGAGATGCAGCTGTCTAAGCTGGGACAGGACAGTGGAAGGGCTGCTGCGTGGCAGGTGGTGGGGTTGTCGATCCCTGTCCATCTGCCCTAAACCTCTGCGAGGGCGGGAACTCTACTGGCTGGCAACTAGCAAAGCTTACTTAATTAATTCGGGGAATGTGATCATGGCTCACTGCAGCCTCTACCTCGTGGGCTCAAGCTGTCCTCCCACCTCAGCCTCCCAAATAGCTGGGACTACAGGCACACACCACCAAACCCAGCTAATTTTATTTATTTATTTATTTTTGTAGAGATGGGGTCTCACTATGTTGCTCAGGCTGGTCTCGAACTCCTGGATTCAAGCAATCCTCCTGCCTTAACCTCCTAAAGTGTTGGGATTACAGGTGTGAGCCACTGCACTTGGCCTGATGTTTTAAGTTTCTTGTAGAGACAGAGTCTAGAGGCTGGCCACTCCTCCTGGGCTCAAGTGATCCTCCTGTTGCAGCCTCCCAAAGCACTGGGGTTACTGGCATGAGCCACCACCGGGCCAGCCTCTTTTTTTCTTTTTCTTTCTTTTTTTTTTTTTTGAGACAGAGTTTCACTTTTGTCACCCAGGCTGGAGTACAGTGGCGTGATCTTGGCTCACTGCAACCTCTATCTCCCGGGTTCAAGTGATTCTCCTGCGTCATCCTCCCAAGTAGCTGGGATTACAGGTGTCTGCCACCACGCCTGGCTGATTTTTGTATTTTTAGTAGAGATGGGGTTTCACCTTGTTGGCCAGGCTGGTGTTGAGTTCCTGACCTCTAGTGTTCCACAGGCGTCAGCTTCTCACAGTGCTGGGATGACAGGTGTGAGCCCCGGAGCCCGGCCCTCTTTTTAAAGTAACTCTTTCCTGGGGAATAGACAGTGTTTTTCTAACTGCAACCTGTAAGTGTGGCTTGCTTTAGGGGACATGGCTGGGTATGCATATTCACATTGTTTCCAATCTTAGGCTGTCACAGAACATCTTGCTAAAAATACCTGTGTGTATACTTGCAAGGATGCCTTAAAATAAATTCCTAGAAACCAGGTGGCTGAGCCAAGGGATTGTTTTGTTCTGATGTCCAGTGGTCCTCCAGCACCCTGCAGAGACGAGTGCCAACTGCAGCCCCAGCTGCTGTAGTGGAGCCTAGGACTGTTCTGATCGTCCCTGATTGGTCCAGCCCTGCCGGTCAGTTACTCAACCCTGAGCCATCCCAGTGACCAGGAGGAATGCAGTGCTCTGATTGGCTGGCTCAGGTCCTGGCCAGCCCTGACATCAGAGGCAGGGTTGGTGGGTGGGTGGGCAGGTGGACTCCCCCAGAGGGGCTGGAGTCAGGCAGACCTGGTTCCAAACTCAGCCCCGCACCTGTTGGCTGCAGCAGATGGCGGCTTCCAGAGACGGCCACACAGATTCCCCCAACCACACTGTCTTTGCATACTGTGACACTGTGCTTCTTCCTCCACGGTAGGGCTTGTGTTCTTAACCCTTTGTGAAACAAAGTAAGAGAGCAGAAGCTATGTTTGCTCATCATTCTGCCTATGGCGTTTCACGGGACACTTTTGCAGCGCACTGGAGGTCCATCAGACATCAAAAAGGAACAGGCCCTTGGCTCAGTGACCCAGTTTCCAGGATTTTATTTATTTATTTATTTTTGAGGCGGAGTCTTGCTCTGTCACCCAGGCTGGAGTGCAGTGGCGTGATCTGGGCTCACTGTAACCTCTGCCTCCCGGGTTCAAGTGATTCTCCTGCCTCAGCCTCCCGAGTAGCTGGGATTACAGGCACCCACCACCTGCACCCAGCTAATTTTTGTATTTTTAGTAGAGACAGCGTTCCACTATTTTGGCCAGGCTGGTCTCCTGACCTCGTGATCCACCCACCTTGGCTTCCCAAAGTGCTAGGATTGCAGGTGTAAGCCACCCCGCCTGGCCTCCAGGAATTTATTTTAAGGCATCCTTGCAACTGTGCAAAAATGTGCACCTTGCCTCCATGGCTGGGCGCAGCCTCCTGGAAGAATGCCCATCCCCTCCTCCGCCAGGCTGAGCAGGCACGGCATAGGATCCCATGGCTCTTGCTTGAATTGCTGCATGTTTTAAAAAGATAAGGTCAACGATCCTAGCCCTTGCCTCCTCCTGTACATAAGCTAACGCCTGACAGGATGAGAGGCTGTAATCTATGACCAGATGGACTCTTGCACCAAAACTTTGATGATCACATTTGGCTCTAAGGTAGTCTCTGAGCACCTGCAAACCCCCGCCACCTGTTTATACGCTGTGGCCCAAAACATTGCTTTGGACCATTGGAACAGAAACTCTCTGGCAGACTCTCCTGGGTTGCTCAATAGGAATCCTAGTAAAACTAACTTTAATTCCTCAAGAGTGTAATTTTGGGTTTTTTTGATATAGAGTCTTGCTCTTTAGCCCAGGCTGGAGTGTAGTGGTGTGATCTCGGCTCACTCCAAACTCCACCTCCTGGATCCAAGCAATTCTCCTGCCTCAGCCTTCCAAGTAGCTGGGATTACAGGCCTGCGCCACCAAGCCCAGCTAATTTTTTTGTACTTTTAATAGAAACGGGGTTTCACCATGTTGGCCAGGCTGGTCTTGAACTCCTGACCTCAAGTGATCCACCCACCTTGGCCTTTCAAAGTGCTGGGATTACAGGCATGAGCCACTGTGCCCAGCCATGTAATTTTTCTTGAGTGGACTCCTTGAATCTGGGTGGGTGCTTGTGACCACGGTGGAGGCTGGATCACACCCAGTGATGCAGCTTCCTCCGGTTTCCCGGGGGCACCTGTGCTAGGGACCAGCCACCATGCTGTGGGGAAGCCCATTAGATTGTAGAGGGGCCTATGTGGAGGGGAACCCTGGCCCATGGGACAATGGCCAGGCTCCCACCTGACCCTGAGACTACCTGCCAGCCACATGCACCACCATGAGTGGATCCTCCAGTCCGAAGTGGAGTAAACCCAGTCAAGGCCTCATGGAGTGTCTCCACCAAGACCTGCCTGAGTGCAAGTTCATGGGTAATGACTGCTGCTCAGTATGGGGTGTTTTGTTACACAGTGGCAGATAACGCAAACACAGCCATGTATGCTTCAGCGAGGGATGGGACCCCTGTGAATCAGATGAGGATAATAATATTGCTTAACTACGCTCATTCATTCACAAACTATAACAGAGCACTCCCAGCATCCCAGGCACTGTTTGAGGCTCTGGGGATCCCAGGTGGAAAATGCTGAGCGATGCCTTGATGGCTGGGTCTCAAGCAAGCTCCATTCCTTCCTCCAAGCTTTTCGTTTTCCTCTTTCTCTTTCTTTCCTTCCTTCCTTCCTTCCTTCCTTCCTTCCTTCCTTCCTTCCTTCCTTCCTTCCTTCCTTTCTTTCTTTCTCTCTCTCTCTCTCTCTTTCTTTCTTTCTCCTTTCTTTTTTTTTTTGTAGACACGGTCTTACTTTTTTGTCCAGGCTTCAGTGCAGTGGCACGATCTTGGCTCACTGCATCCTCAACCTCCCAGGGCTCAGATGATCCTCCCACCTCAGCCTCCCAGGTAGCTGAGACTACAGGTGTGTGCCACTACACCTGGATAATTTTTGTGTTTTTTATAGAGACAGGGTTTTGTTAAAACACGGGAGCTTTGAATGAAGAGACCTTCCAAACAGGCTTTGTGTAAGTAACCTGGCTGTTTATTCACCTGGGTGCAGGTGGGCTAAGGCCGAAAAGGGCGTTAGCAAAGGGCAGTGGGATAGGAGTTGGTTTTATAGCTTTGGGTAGGTTTTTGGGGGGTGGGGGGTGTTGCAGAGTAAGTTCAGTTACAGTGAGGAGGTTGGGTGAGAGGTATTTACATTATCATAAGAACAGTTAAGATGACAGGGTTGGGTGAGGGGCTCGTCAGGGGAAGCTCTGCCAGGGACAATGATGAATGTAGGCAGAGGGCGGGAGACTTTAGCAGAGGCAAGCAGGACTTCAGACTTTCAGGATACAGGCTTTCCTATGGAGAACTGACAGGTTCCAACATGTTGCCAAAGCTGATCTCAAACTCCTGTGCGCAAGTGATCACCCACCTCGGCTTCCCAGAGTGCTGGGATTACAGGCATGAGCCACCGCCCCTGCCCCTTCCCCACTTCTTTACCCAGGAACTGCCCATAAAAATTCCTTCCTCTTCTCTCCCAGCTAAAGATCTCATATAAAGCAATAATCATTTGCCATGTGACAATGAATTAAAAGCTGACTGTCACCTCCAGAGGCCACAGGTCCCTTGGGGCTCCCAGACAGAGAGGCTTAGGGCAGCCCCAAGGGAAGGGCTGTCCTTCCACTGCTAAACTGCTGCTCCAGTCCAATTAGTGAGCACCCTTTGCTGGGTAATAAAAGCTCCCATTGTTTACATCCCTGGAAGCATATTAATGAGTAACCCAGTACGTGGGCCCCTGGTTCTAGCCCTTAAAATAGTTGTTTATATGACAGGAACAAGGTGCAATTTTCCATTTGTAGTTTTAAGTGGGCCCAGAGCCCCAGGCTGGTCAAGGCCCTGACACTGGGTTCCTGCAGCCCCAGGCCCTCTCTCTCTCTTTTTTTTTTTCAAAGATGGGGGCGAGGGGGGTGCGGGGCATGGGGGTCTCACCATGTTGGTCAGCCTGGTCTTGAACTCCCGACCTCAGGTGATCTGCCCACCCTGGCTTCCAAAGTGCTTGGATTACAGGCGTGAGCCACCATGCCCGGCCCCCAGGCCCTCTCTTGGGGCCTCAGCAGTGAGGTCCCCATTGCCCTGCGGTCCAGAAACATTGAAGTCCACACGGAGCACAGTCCAACCTCCGAGAAGAATCTAACAGAGGCCTTGCAGAGGGGCAGGCTCCTCAGGGCCCAGCGAGGGAGAGCTGGAAGCCTCAGTGGGAGGGGGCGCCTGAGCCAGGCTTGAAGAAGGGCAGGTCCTGCAGTGGAGGCTGTTTGGCCGCCTTGACCAAGCCCTTGTCTGCAAGCAACCCCTGGGAAGTGGCAGGAATTGGCTCCTAAGCAACAGTGGTTTCAGGCCATACCAGGGTCCAGAGAGAGCCAGGCTGCGAACTCAGCATTGCTGGGGACCCACTGTGCTTACTCTTAGGGCCTGGCACATGGCAGCCATTGTGAAATGGGTAGGATGAATGAGTGGGTGGAGGGTGGAGGCTGGAGCTTCAGCAGCCCATGGTGCTCTGGAAGGGCCAGTGATCCACTTCCTCCAGGGCCAGGGCAGGGAGGTACAGGTTCAGGGCTGCAGGAGTCTCTGCAGGCAGGAACTGGAGTCTCCACTGAGCCCTTTCCCACCACTGCTGTTGCCAAGACAACATCCACAAGCAAATGCTGGGCTCTGCCACTTACAGTACACTTTCATTCTGTCATAGGATGAGTAGTTACCCCCACATTCATATGGTAGTCTTAGCCCCAGTACCTTAGAATGCTTTAGAAATTGGTGCCGGATGCCGTGGCTCACGCCTGTAATCCCAGCCTTTTGGGAGGCTGAGGTGGACAGATCACTTGAGGTCGGGAGTTGGAGACCAGCCTGGGCAACATGGTGAAACCCTGTCTCTACTAAAAATACAAAAATTAGGTGTGGTGGTGCATGCATGTAATCCCAGCTACTTGGGAGGCTGAGGCAGAAGAATAGCTTGAACCTGGGAGGTGGAGTTTGCAGTGAACCGAGATAGAGCCACTGCACTCCAGCCTGGGCAACAAGAAAGAGACTCTGTCTTAAAAAACAAAACAAAGAAATAGGGTTGCTGCTGATGTAATTAGTTAAGATGAAGTTATTGGGATGGGCCTTAACCCAACATAACTGCTATCCTTATAAAAAGAAAATTTTGGTTGGGCATGGTGGCTCACGCCTACAATCCGGGCAATTTGGGAGGCTGAAGTGGGAGGATTGCCTGAGCCCAGGAGTTAAGGACCAGCCTGGGCAACGTAGAGACACTTCATCTATACAAAAAATACAAAAATTAGCCTGGTGTGGTGATGCATGCCTATAGTCCCAGCTACTCAGGAGGCTGGGGCAGGAGGACCGCTGAGCCAAGGAGGTCGAGGCTGCAGTGAGTCGTGATTATGGCATTGCACTCCAGCCTGGGCAACAGGGCAAGACCCTGTCTCAAACAAATTTTTAAAAATAGGAAATTTGGACACGTGGAGGACACCATGAGAACACAGGGGCTGAGAGCAGGTGGTGCTTCTGCAAGGCAAGGAACATCAGGGGCTGGTGGCCCCCAGAAGCTAGGAGGCAGGCCTGGGACCGTCCCCAGGGCCCCCACTCTGCCCACCGCTTGGACTCCGGCCCAGGGACTGAGCACATTCCTGTTGTTGAAGCTGCTCGCCGGTGGCGCTTGACTCCAGAAGCCGCAGGCAGCGCATCCACAGGCTCTCCTGGCCCTCCCGTGCTGCCTTCCTCCTCGGGTGGTCCCTGTGATGAGGCCTCTGTGCGATGGGGAAACCGAGGCCCTGGCAGACACCTGGGATGCAGAGACTCCCGGTACCGCTGTTTGTCCTCGGGCAATTTGCTGAACCTTTCTGGGTTTCAGTTTCTCACCCATTCCAAGAGCTGATGGCTGGGCTTCGGCCACCGACTGCTGGACGGGAAAGCCCATGCAGCGCCCACAGGGGCTCAGATGAGGCCAAGGGGGCGGGGTCGGGCCTGGGCAGCGGGGCGGGATGGGGGCGGGGCATGCTCGACACGCTCGGTGCTCCACCGCCCCCCCTGCGTACGCTCGCAAGGCGCTCGCAGACTCCGGCGTCGACAAGATGTCGACCGCCATGAATTTCGGGACCAAGAGCTTCCAGCCGCGGCCCCCGGAGAAGGGCAGCTTCCCGCTTGATCACTTCGGTGAGCGACGGAAAGTTGGCGAGCAGGGGTCTGGGGTGGGTGTCTGGGGCGCGGCCTAGCACAGAGCCCTATGAGGTGCCGGCATCTAGCACGGTGCAGGCAGGGAAACTGAGACACGGCGGGTCTCTCTCCCCCCGCCCCCAAGTTCCAGGTCACTGCTGCGGCCGTGGACCCTGCAGGTGGGAGCTGGCAGGGCCGTGGCCTCCGTGTCGAGGGCAGCAATACCGACTTTTTGCGTCGGGTTCTCCGGCTACGCTTTGACTCATCCGGGCGGGCTGTTGGTGACCTGGGTTTGCAAAGCGGGGTATTTAGCGGCCGCGAAGCCCGCAGCTGCAACCGGGGCTTAGACGGTGCCCGGCGGTGTCTGCTGCAAAACTCAAAAGTGCTGCTGATTTCTTAGTGCTTCTGGCTGGATTCCGGTTTGGGGTTAGCCATTAAGTGAGCCTCCGTGGACATGAAGGCTTCGAAAAAGGATCTGTGGGTCGGGTGCAGTGGCTCTCGCCTGTAATCTCAGCACTTTGGGAGGCCGAGGTGGGCGGATCACTTGAGGTCAGGAGTTCGAGACCAGCCTGCCCTACGTGGTGAAACCCCGTCTCTACTAAAAATACAGAAATTAGGGAGCCACGGTGGCTCAGGCCAGTTGTCCTGGTGCTTGGGGAGGCGAGGCTAAGCGTTCGAGGCCAGCCTGGGCAACATAAGAACCTCTCATTCATTTAAAAAAAAAATACAAAAATTAGTTGGAAAACATAAGAACCTCTCATTCATTAAAAACAAAAACAAAAATTAGTCAGGCCTGGTGTGGCTTGCCTGTAGTCCCGGCTTCTCCGGAGGCTGAGGCAGGAGAATCACTTGAACCCAGAGGCTAGGTTGCAGTGAGCGGAGATCGTACCACTGTACCCCAGCCTGGGCGACAGAGTCAGGAAACGTCTCAAAAAAGAAAAAGAAAAAGTATCTCTGGATTACCGTTTCTTTCCCAACATTTTGTTATGACATTTTCAAACACACAGCAAAAATGAAATAATTTTTACCCTGAACTCTTCTATCACCTAGATTGCCCCTTAACCTTTTAGTGGGCTGATTTTACCAAGTTGTAGATTTGTTTTTTCCAGTGTTGTTTTCAGCATGTTTCTGAAGGAAACAAGTTTGGTTTTTGTTGTTGTTATTGTTTTTTTTTTTTTTTTTTTTTTTTTTTTTTGAGACGGAGTTTCGCTCTTGTTACCCGGGCTGGAGTGCAATGGCGCGATCTCGGCTCACCGCAACCTCCGCCTCCTGAGTTCAGGCAATTCTCCTGCCTCAGCCTCCTGAGCAGCGGGGATTACAGGCATGCGCCACCATGCCTGGCTAATTTTTTGCATTTTTAGTAGAGACGGGGTTTCACCGTGTTGACCAGGATGGTCTCGATCTCTTGACCTCGTGATCCACCCGCCTCGGCCTCCCAAAGTGCTGGGATTACAGGCTTGAGCCACCGCGCCCGGCCTGTTGTTATTGTTTTGAGACGGAGTCTCGCTCTGTTGCTAGGCTGAAGTGCATGCAGTGGCGTGATCTTGGCTCACTGCAACCTCCTCTCGGATTCAAGCGATTCTCCTGCTTCGGCCTCCTGAGTAGCTGGGACTACAGGCCCCCACTACCACACCCGGCTAATTTTTTGTATTTTAGTAGAGACAGGGTTTCACCATGTTGGACAGGATGGTCTTGATCTCCTGACCTCATGATCTGCTTGCCTTGGTCTCCCAAAGTGACAGGATTACAGGCATGAGCCATCGTGCCCAACCTTGTTTTCTTGAGTGGGGGCACAGGGTCTCACTCTGTTGTTCAGGCTGGAGTGCAGTGATGCAATCATAGCTCAGTGCAGCCTTGACCTCCTTCCTTTCTGGGCTCAGGGGAGTCTCCCGCCTCAGCCTCTGGAGTGGCTGGGACTGTAGGTGTAGAGCACCACACTTGGCTAATTTTTTTTTTTTTAAGAGATGAGGTTTTCCCATGTTGCCCAGACTGGATTGATTATTTATTTATTTATTTATTTTTGAGTTGGATTCTTACTCTGTTGCCCAGGCTGGAGTGCAGTGACATGATCTCAGCTCACTACAACCTTCACCTCCTGGGTTCAAGTGATTCTCCTGACTCAGCCTCCCGAGTAGCTGAGATTACAGGCACCTGCCACCATGCCTGGCTAATTTTTATACTTTTAGTAGAAATGGGGTTTCTCCAAATTGGTGAGGCTGGTCTTGAACTCCTGACCTCAGGTGATCCGCCCACCTCAGCTTCCCAAAGTGCTAGGATTACAGGTGTGATGCACTGTGCCTGGCCTGGATTATTTTTTTAAGAGACAGGGTCTTGATCTGTTGTTGCCCAGGCTGAAGTGCAGTTGTGTGACTGTAGCTCACTGCATCCTTGAACTCGTTTGCTCAAGCGATCCTCCTGCCTCAGCCTCCTAAGTAGCTGGAAACACAGGTGTGTGCCACACGTGGCTTTTAATTTTATTTATTTATTTACTTGGAGAGATAGGGTTCTCACTATGTTGCCCAGGCTGGTCTCAAACTCCTGGGGTCAAGCAGTTCTCCCAGAGTGCTGGGATTACAGGCGTGAGCCACTGAGGCCGGCCTGAGAAAACAAGTTTTGAAAAGAAAAGCAGCGCAGCTCTCAAGGCTGTTGTGTGGTTGCATCATGTTTCACTTTGAAAAGAACATGCTGCTGGCCGGGTGTGGTGGCTCACACCTGTAATCCCAGCACTTTTGGAGGCCAAGGTGGGCGGATCACCTGAGGTCAGGAAATCAGCCTGGACAACATGGTGAAACCCCATCTTTACTAAAAATACAAAAATTAGCCAGGTGTGGTGTTGGGCACTGTAATCCCAGCTACTCGGGAGGCTGAGGCAGGAGAATCGCTTGACCCCGGGAGGTGGAGGTTGCAGTGAGCCGAGATTGCACCATTGCGCTGCATGCAGCGTGGTGGATAAGAGCGAGACTTAGTCTTTTAAAAAAAATAAATAAATAATGAACATGCTGTTTTCTTTCTCATTCTAGGTGAATGTAAAAGCTTTAAAGAGAAATTCATGAAGTGTCTTCATGACAATTATTTTGAAAATGCTTTGTGCAGAAATGAATCAAAAGAATATTTAGAATGCAGAATGGAGAGGTAGGTACAGCTAAGAGTTCTGACTTCCACCTCCCACTACTCCAACTAAAACATTTTTTTACCTGCAAGGCCATGACGGTGTGTCTTTTTCAGGCCTGGGATTCAGCCTGTGTTTTTTAGGACTGTAGAATTGTTTGCCTTTGAAATGGAGGCTTATCAGATGAAATTGTACGAAAAGCTGTTTCACAATCTTGGGAACCTATTCTTGAGCAATAGCATTATACAGGATTGCATTCTAGAGAGCATTTGCTTTCCAAATTTGGTTGCTACCGACCAGTGATTAAGGTTTCAAAATCGTGCATCATAAAAATGCTGACTGAGTCAAAAGACTGAAGTTTACACAGTTTATATCTTTTGCATTCTCAGACCTTAAAAATATGCACTGGGCTGTTTTGCACTTAAGAGTTGATTGGAATGTGACAGGGAGGACAATAGACTAAGAAATGATGAAAGACAAATGATTCTTTCTGTGGTAACCAGAACTCACCAAGCTCACTTTTAAACAAAACACATGCGTTTGTAGCTATGATCCCCACAGTTTTTACTTAAAATAAGAGCTATTCTAATCCCTTGTGCAAAAAAGCATGTAGTGTATAATTATATGATGGTGGTGGGAGCTTTTATTTTTGCATTTTGAGGCCGTGATTAGCTCACTAGGCATCTCAGTCCTCAGACAGCTGTGTCTCTGCCGAAGACAGTTTGACGATTAACCCATCCACTGTGAACTCTTTTCATTTTCCCATGACACATTCAGACATTTCCCTCAAGGCAAAAATCCCTTGTGCCTTCCCAGCCACACAGGTGTGTTCAGGGTTATCTGTGTGTACATTTGGGGCCGGAAGGAAGGATGACGGGCTTTCTCAGCAGTGTGGACATCCTGTGAGGCCACGTTCTGCCTTCAGAGCTATTGGCTAGGCTCTTCCAGGGCTTCCATTTGTCCAGGGGCCACACTGAATCTGGCTCTCACCATCTCTTAATTGTTTAAGTGGCACACTGGCTGGAGCCACATGTTTAAATTAGCCTTAAATTAATGCATCTTTAGAAAATTAGAACTGAGAATTTCTTCATGGCATTAGACATGGTGTGAATTGGCTCTGTTGATGTGAGGGTGTGAGCAAGCCTCCTGCCTCATGCTCAGCTTCCCCAGGAGACCTGCTGAGGACAGCGGGGAGGAAGGGAGCCAGGCCACGGCCTCTGGTAGGTTCGTGGCTGGACAGGTGATGTCTAGGCAGATGTGCAGGGTGTGTGTTTCTCATTTTGTTGATTTTTTTCCTTTTTAAAAATCCTTCTATAAGTCAGTTATTTTGACTGTGGAATTTTGATTGGTTGTTTGTTCACAAAAATCATCAAACATGCAGAGGTTGAGGATAGTCTGCGTCTGGTAACCGGCACCCACCTGGTCTTTAGCCTTTTCTTTTCTTCCTTTTTTCCTTCTGTGCTGAAATCCCAGACATTACTCTCACTTCCACGTGCATCTGTTTTGGAAAATGGACCACAGTAGAATTTTTTTAAGTTGTCTCTTGAGGACTTGGCCCTTGTTAGCCTGATATGAAAATGTAGGTGTGTGAGAAGTTTGTGTCCTGTCCTGGGGAGTGGGCACCCGGGGGTCACAAAGATGCTCTGGTGGAGCAGCCTCAGCCCCTGTCAGCAGCACAGAGTGTGTGGGGGCCTTGTGGGATGGTGGTGGGATCTCCTGGCTGGGTTGTGGGGAGGATAGAGGAAGCTACCCCTGTAAAGCGGGCAGCAGGATCCGGGGCACATCACCATGTGTGAATTCACATGATCGTTACTATTGTCCTGAAGAGTGGGGGCACATAAAACATGCTGAGTTGTGGCTTTCACGCCTCTAAGATGGCCACACTGTGATAAACAGCTGGGAATTATTTGGGTGGATGTGGTGGCTCACGTCTATAGTCCCAGCACTCTGGGAGGCCAAGCAGGAGAATCAGTTGAGCTCAGGACTTCAAGACCAGCCTGGGCAACATGGCAAGACCCTGTTTCTACAAAAAGTTTCTTAAAAAATTAGCTGGCCAGGCACAGTGGCTCACGCATGTAATCCCAACACTTTGGGAGGCCCAGGCAGGCAGATCGCTTGAGGTCAGGAGTTCAAGACCAGCCTAACCAACATGGTGAGACAGTCTCTACTAAAAATACAAAAATTAGCCAGGTGTTGTGACAAGCGCCTATAATCCCAACTACTCAGGAGGCTGAGGCAGGAGAATCACTTGGACCCAGGAGGCGGAGGTTGCAGTGAGCCGAGATCATGCCACTGCACTCCAGCCTGGGCAACAGATCAAGACTCCATCTCAATTAAAAAAAAAAAATAGCTGACCAGGCATGGTGGCCCACACCTGTAATCCTAGCACTTTAGAAGGCTGAGGCAGGCGAATTGAATGAAGTCAGGAGTTTGAGACCAGCCTGACCAGTATGGTGAGACCCCATCTCTACTAAAAATATAAGAATTAGCCAGGTATGGTGGTGAGTCCATGTAGTCCCAGCTACTCAGGAGACTGAGACACAAGGATCGCTTGGACCTGGGAAGTGGAGGCTGCAGTGAGCCAAGATTGCACCGCTGTACTCCAGCCTGGGCAATAGAGTTAGATTGTCTCGGGGAAAAAAAAAGTTAGCTGGGCATGGTGGGATACACCTGCAGTGTCAGCTACTCAGCAGGCTGCGGCAGGAGGATCACTTGAGCCGCGGAGTTCAAGGCTGCAGTGAACTTGAACTGCGCATTGCACCCCTGTGTCCCACCCTGGGAGACAAAGTGAGACCCTGTCCCAAAAAAAAAAGTTAGATAATTAATGACCTCAGTCTCAGTTCCGTCTGGGCAGATGGCAGATTGAGGTCTTCTCTGCCAGGGTGCCATGGAAGGTGACCGGCACAGGTTCCAGGGATTAGGTTGTGACCATTTTTAGAGTCATTATTCTCCCAACAAACGCAAATCTACGAGGTCAGCATGAAGCTGTTGTCCAGATACATCTTTCACCAGGACATGGGGAAGGGTTTGCTGGAGCCACGGGTGCAGCGGCCCCCTTGGGCATCCCTGAAGGCCACAGGCCTTAGGCCTTGGGATGGCCTGGGTGGTCATGTCCTCATGGCCCTGTTGACTCTGCCCAGTGCGGAGGGTGGCAGCCACTGGGGGCAAGGCTAAGGGGTTGCTGTCTGGGTTTCATTTTTTCAGGATGTACATAGGGGTAGTAGGACCCCTGGTGTGCACTTAGAAGCAGGACCTGCGAGAGCCCGTCTCCTCCTCCCTGCACCTCCCGTCCTGACGGCCTTCTCTTTTTCTTTTAGAAAATTGATGCTACAAGAACCATTGGAGAAACTGGGATTTGGAGACTTGATTGGTGGAAAATCAGAGGCAAAAAAATGAATTTTGATAAGACTCCTGGGCCGTGTTCAGTGGTCTCTCGGGACGGAGGGTACCATTCTTCGTCTTAGGTTGACGAAGGCCTGCACGTGGTGTCCTTGTGAAGCCCAAAGAGAGGCTTCTGCCCTGTGGTGACATCTCCTGGGTAGGGAAGTGGTGTCCCATTTTCCCTGAGGAGGGTTGAACCCCTGAGTGGGATGGAGTTTCCCAGCAAGGCTGGGAGGGAGGGGAGCGTGGGGCAAGATCTCTAGTCTTCGAGGACCGGGACGCCCTTGTGTGGAGTGGTTTTATGTTGCAGTCCTCTGATGCTTTCTGACTTCAAACAGGTAAATGGACATCAATTTCAGTCCCTTCTAAACACAGATATCATTAGAAAATTACCATTCCCTAGCAGAATGTTTTCCTGTGTATATTTGTTAGGCTAGTTCATTTCCTTTCTTTTTCTTTTTTTTAAAAAAAAAAACAGTAGAGGCCCAGCGTGGTGGGTCACGCCTGTAATCCAAACACTTTGGAGGCCAAGGCGGGTGGATCACCTGAGGTCAGGAGTTCAAGACCAGCCTGACCAACATGGTAAAACCTCGTCTTTAAAAACAAAACAAAACAAAAAACAATAGAACACAAAATAGGAAATGAGAAATTTCTGGCTTTGGATGGATTTAACTTCTTGATTTTTTCTGTTTTTGCCAGAACACCAAGTAGCTTCATGATCAAAGGGTCATTTTCTGATTTTTATCAGACCATATTTATAAAGCTAGGTATTTAACTTTAATAACTCCCATATTTTAACAGAAAAAGAGAATGTGAGTCCATTTGTGGTCAGGTTCACACTGGCTGTCTTCTTTGCCAGCCAGCACCACCCAAGACCCCTGGCACATGTTTGCAGCATGGCTGCACCAGAGTCGCCTGTGAGTCAGGGAAACACAGCCTGAATCCATCCAGTGCATCAGGGCAGCTGGGGCCCACCTGCTGCAGATGCCTGTGTGTCTGGGGCCTTGGCCAGACCCGTCCACTTCACAGGTGCTGTCAGAAAGGGGCCAGCTCCTCTGGTCAGTGGAGGACGGCAGCAGGAGACGGGGTGAGGGATCCAGGGCACGTCCTCCCTGATGACCCTCGCAAAAGCTGTCTCCAGGCTCTGGCAGGTGGGGGCCACCAACCTAGCCGACCTCAGGCTCCGAGAAATGGGCTGTCCTCGCCCCTCCTGCCTGTGGGTGGCTGAGGCTTCTCAGCCCATCTCCAGTTCTCTGCAGCAAAGGCCCTCTGTTTCTGTCCCACAGTAGTGGCCCTTTCTTGGTTAAACATGTCCCCCTCAACCCACCCCCATGACTGAATACTACTGCAGCTGGCCCACCTCTACCCGCCTGCCCAGCCCTGTGGCCCTGCAGCCGTGGGTTCTACCACCTGCTCCTGGCTGCAGCTGCCACTGTCTTGTGTCTGCTTTGTTAGGCCTCTGGGTGCTGCAGACTTTTTAATGTACCACTGCTAGTTTATGAAAAGCCTTGGATTTTTTTTTTAAGACTGAGTCTTGCTCTATCACCCAGTCTAGAGTACAGTGGCACAATCTCAGCTCACTTCAGCCTCCACTTCCCAGGTTCAAGCAATTCTCTGCCTCAGCCTGCTGAATAGCTAGGATTACAGGCACCTGCTACCACACCTGACTAATTTTTGTATTTTTAGTAGAGACAGGGTTTCACCATCTTGGTCAGGCTGGTCTTGAACTCCTAACCTTATGATCCACCCTCCTTGGCCTCCCAAAGTTCTGGGATTACAGGTGTGAGCCACTGCACCTGGCCGAAAAGTTGTTTTTTATCATCAGAATATTTTGTGTAGGCATAGGATTGCTGCAGCACTGTTTGTAGCAACCCCAGTGCCCTCACAGCATGCGTGAGCTGTGATGCTCCACCATGGAACCCGTACTGACACAGTACGGCTCTATGGCGTGAGCTTACTGTAATGCAGAGAAGGGCAGGGCCACGGGAAACTACAAACACCTGCTAATCCTCGCAAATGAGAAGCCCAGAAGGATGAACTGCAGCCGATGAGCATGGCTGGCCTCGGGGCTATGACTAGACGCTCGGGCCTGCCTCTTCGTGCTGCACTCTGACCACTGGGGGTGTGGGGAAGAAGATGCCAGCCTGAATGACATGGAAAACTATTGACCAAAGCAAGAGACATACAAAGGTAACTGGATGGAGAAGTAGAGTGATCACTCTCACCTGCCCAGGGTGTGCTCCATACCTAGTGGATGCCTGAAGCCACGGATGGGCACCAATCCTGTCTAAACTGTGCTTTTTCCTACGTATCTGTGATAAAGTCCAAGGTATGATAGCAAAACCGACAGGAATTTCTTTTTCCCTCTTCAAAATGCCGCAGATAGGAGGTGTGTTCTTCCCAAAGAATTTTGCAACCTTGGCATGATTGTTTTTCATTTAGGTCAGGAGTTTTCGCCTTTTCCCTTAGAGGAAGCACTTGGCAGTTTCTCTGGCGTATCTGAATCGCCAGCATTACCACTTGTGAGTTTTGAGGGCTTTATTAAGTAGAATAAAGGCTTTTTGGACCCAGGCACCACATCACCATGATAGTCAGCTCATCACTGAGGTGCTGCTGAGTGCCTGGTGGGCAGGGTGGCGTGGATGGCCTGAGATGCCGGTTGGAGGGAGGTTTCGTGTCCCAGCAGGATGGCTGCTCAGAATAGCACAGAATCGAAAACTCCCAAATGGTTTATTTCCGGAATTTTTCACTTAGTATTTTTGGACTGTGGCTGACCATGGGTAACTGAAACCATGTATACAGGGGACTGTGTCGGGGGGCTGTGCACAAATGTTTCCCAGCACTGTGCTGTGGGCCCAGATGCAGCCACCTCCACACCCAGGGCCATTCTCTAACCAAAGGAGCCAGGGCCAGGCCAGAGAGGGGACAGGATGAGCCAGAAGGAAGAATTGCTAAGAGATGGTGGGACTTGTTGAAATAACATGGGGGAATGGAAGGAGCACATGGTAGCCAACCTGGGGTAGTTCAAGCATGAAGTTAAACAGGCCGGGGTGGGAGGAACACTTGAGGCCAGGAGTTCAAGACCAGCCTGGGAAAAATGTGAAACCCCACCTCTACAAAAAATAAGAAAAATCAGCCATGTGTGATATTGCCTGCCTGTAATCCCAGATAGGAGGCTGAGGCGGGAGGATCACTTGAGCCAGAGGTTAAGTCTGTCACGAGCCATGATACCCCACAGAATAATTTAATATCCACTGATCTAGACGACATAAGTAATTAGGTTAAGTATGTCAGTGGGGGGAGGGCCAGGTCTGTTGTATTAATTCTTTTTTTTTTTTTGAGACAGAGTCTCGCTCTGTTGCCAGGCGCCAGGCTGGAGTGCAGTGGCGCAATCTCGGCTCACTGCAACCTCTGCCTCCCGGGTTCAAGCAATTCTCCTGCTTCAGCCTCCTTAGTAGCTGGGACTACAGGCATGTGCCACCACGCCCAGCTAATTTTTATATTTTAGTAGAGAGGGGGTTTCACTGTGTTGGCCAGGATGGTCTCGATCTCTTGACCTTGTGATCCGTCTGCCTCAGCCTCCCAAAGTGCTGGGATTACAGGTGTGAGTCACCGCGCCTGGCCTGTTGTATTAATTCTAATGTGGAAGAAGCATTGGGAATAGGAAATTGCCACTGGAGAAGCCACAGTAGTGATGGGTGCAGATTATAGCCCTCAGTAGGCCAGGCGTGGCAGCTCAGGCCTGTACTCCCAACACTTCAGGAGGCCGAGGCAGGCAGATCACTCTAGGCCAATAGTTCAAGACCAGCCCCGCTAACATGGAGAAGCCCGGTGTCTACTAAAAATACAAAAATTAGATGGGCCTGGTGGCTCACACCTGTGATCCCAACACTTTTGGGAGGCTGAGGTGGGTGGATCACAAGGTCAAGAACAAATGTTGGAACCCTGTTTCTACTAAAAATACAAAACAATTGCTGGGTGTGGTGGTGCGTACCTGTAGTCCCAGCTACTCAGGAGGCTGAGGCAGGAGAATCATTTGAACCCGGGAGGCGGAGGCTGCAGTGAGCCAAGATTGCTCCATCACGCTCCAGCCTGGTGACAGAGCTGTCTCAAAAAAAAAACCCTCAGTGGACACGAAGTGAGGGTGACATGTGGTGTGAAGCAGGTGTCTGCTGAGTCTTGAGAAACCTCCCCTGGAGATGCTCAGTGACGTCCAGAGAGACAGTGGTCACATCACAGCAGAGCAGCAGAGGCCCCTTAACCCCATGGTCACTGCCAGGAGCAAACCGCACAGGCAGTGCTGACCTGGTGGCATCACTGAGAGCAAAGTGTCACCAGGTTCTCCTGCCCCACTGCATGACCCGAATCTAATCCCGAGGAGACATCAGACACAGACCCAAACCCAGGGACCTTCTGCGAAGTGACTGCCAGCGCCTCCCAGTGTTACGTAAGATGTTATTTGGGGAACTGGGTATATACACTGTCCTATTTTTGCAACTTTTTGGAAGTCTGAAATTATTTTGAAATGAGAAAAAAAATGCTTTGTATGAAACTGTAGTGGAATAGATTGAGTCAGTTCTCATTTAGAAATAACTTCAGTGAATTTCCAATAGGGATGATGCCGGCATGAATGGTTTCAGCAGGTCACAGGCAAAGAAGGCTGAGTCCCAGAATATCGCCATTGTGTGGACAGCCTGAGTCCTTACGAATGACCAGTGGCTTCCTGACATTGCCTTTGGTTTTCTAGGTCTGGTTGCTAAATGTGCTCAGCTTAAGAATCCAGACACCCTGTTGTTCCCGCCAGAGCTTCTGAGAAGATATTTCGGGTAGTCCATCATCTGTCATGTGCAGAATGTGTTTTATTTCTCATACACTTGTCATGATAAGCCAGCCACATTATTAAAAGGCTCCCAAAGACAATTTCCGGAACGTTTTCCAAGCGTTCCCCTTGGGCATGAGGTAAACCAGAGGTGGCTGTGGTCGAAGGCCTGGCCCTGTGGTTCTTCATGGTTCTTCCCGGGAGGGTG